ACAACACTGTAAGAAAGGTCGCTGGGTGGTCACAGACTTCCCCTGCACAAGAGGAGGAAAAGAGGACCAACAACAGCCTTCTGGCTGGAAAGTGGTCCCGTCTAACGCACACTGATGACAACGCATTTTTCCAATGCCAAGAGCAGAATAAGTGTCCTGGTGCCCTCAGTTCAGGCTCTTGAGTGATAATGGCTTCCAAATTAAGTAACTGTAGTTTAACACCTAATTACCAGCTTAAAGACCATTCAAAGGAAGTTATCCATGTGTTTAAACTCAGCTGTGGACATGCACATAACTGCCTGTAAAATATTGACCTGTTTCATGAGAACCTATCCCTGTTAAGCAAAGAAACAAACAGAGGTTCATCAATTACCTGTTTCAAAATAGCATCTTTTGAAAATTTCAAAAGGTCATTGATCATAATTTGAGGAAGAACAAGACCTAGTATTCCCAGGTTTATACTCATCTAATGCTATGATTGTCAAGTAAAAATTATGCATTCCTGTGTATAATTAACCAGACTAACTAATCTTGCTCGACAAACACAGATATAAACATCAGTTTTGACCCTGAGCCAAGGCAACCGCTCCAGGATTTCTGCCAATGCTGAATTCCTCGGTCTGATATCATAAAGTGACTTGTCTCCTGTATTTASAGTTCCAGTGGCTGTGGACTCTGCCAGCAGCCGGCCAGAGAAACAGATTTGAACTTGCTCGTTAGGCTAGAACATGTGCATTTGATTAGAAAAAAACAGAAAGAAAAATTACACATATTTCTTCTGGGTGGCAGTATGCATCAGACCTCCCATTGTAAACTAATTGAGGTATGCTGCTATGCAAGGATCATAAAAACCCTTTGTAACATATAATAAACTGCTATATTCATACTGGTAGTATTGCACTACAGCTCTGTAGCCGGGTTCCTGTTATTCTGTTCCTTACATCTTGCAGTTAAAACCAGAAGATGCAGGGGTTTACTTTACATTTGAACTGTCTAGTATAAATGTGTTTCTTTATCTTTTCAAGTAAAAGACATTTCACCTCATTAATAAGAGGGATTTAGTGGAAAAAACCCACACATATACACAAACATACAACACACAACTCATCAACAACCCATAGACAGGAGGTTGTTTCAGGAACCACCCAAGAACACCCCATCCTGCAGAAGATCCAGGCGCTCGCTCTGTTTTCCTGAGGCCATGCCAATAGATGAGCCACACTTCTCCCGCAGCAGGTAGACATGGCCTCCAAGTGGAGAAAACATCCCAGGAAAAAAAGAGTAAAACCCTGAAGCACATTTTCTAAAGAGCTCATCCGACATCTTATATTAGCATCAGRCCTTCCTCCCCGACGGGAGCTGATAGCAGCCGGGCATGGGCTTCATGATGCGGCGGTGTCCCTTCAGGCCAGGGCTCCCGGCCATGCCCAGCCATGGGGCTCCCGGGCCTGCAGGAGGCCACGGGACCAGGCCAGCACCCGTTCCGAGCCGCGGCAGGCACGGGCGGCACAACCGTGGGGCGAAGTCCGCGCCATGCGGGGCTGCGCCCGTTCAAGCGCCCTCCGTCCCGGCCAGCAGCRCCACCCTCTCTGCCCCAGAGGCAGGACGCCGCTGGCAGCACTACGCTGGTGAAAGGCCCTGCTCTGGGAGCAGCCGAAGGAGAAAGGGGGAACCACATCCACCTGCTGGCAGCTAAGCCATCCATGACTCCCGCAGGAAAGCCCTATTACATCCCTGCCTGGGGGCCTGCCCGCTGCGCGAGGCATGTCCTGGCTCCCCCACCCCTGCAGCATTCCTAGGGTAGCCAAAGGGATGGGTATCCCGAATGCTGCAGYGTTTGGAACATCTGCAGCTCCAACTTCAGACCCTGTGCAGGAAAGCTTCACAGGCTGCAGCAGGTCTTGATGCCATGCCTACATCTCAGCTACGCTCTCTAGCAACAGGCTCATCATGGAGCACCCTCTATCATCTCCACTGCCAAAATCTACCCCAAACTCTGCCAAGCCTCAAGGAGGGGCTCCCATGCCAAGAAGGCGGAAGCTGCAGTAAATCCCCTTGGTACTCATGAATCCCAGAGCACTCAAGGGCATCCCGGGTGACCAGCCTCAGCAGGAGGCTGTGGCGTCACTTCCCTGCCTCACCACTGGCTAGCTGTCCCATACAGAGCTGCAGCAGAGGGGACACGTCCCTCAAAACCCACRTCCTTCAAAACCCAAGTGACCTGGGCCTTCGAAGCCAAGCATCCCTCCGCACAGGGATGTGAGTCTTCTCACGCCACCAACAAAATGAACCCRGGTCAACTCTGCTTGTGGTGAGATCCTTCACCACGAAACTACTATAAAAGAGGAATCATTGCATTTTATTAGTAGAAAAAGGAAATTCTCATTTAAAAGAAAGCAGAAGCTAACACTGTGTTGGCTCTGTTAGCAGAAGAGTCCTTCCAAAGACAGATCAGGTTGCTTTTCTCTCTTAAGAGTGTCAGCTAAATATTTTTAAATATGACTCACTGCAAAGATAGATTTATTTTGTCTGCAAAGATGAAATGCTCTATTTCCTTATCAATTCCCAAACAGCAACCAACAGCTCTTACGGGTCTCCAGTACCCTTATAAAATATAACTTCCATCTATTCTCTTTGATGCAACTTGACCTTCTTCAAATGCTGTTGAAAGTCATTTGGAAACAGCAAGATCCTAACCAACTCAGTTCTCATAATATGCAGCCACAAGGAAAGCTGCCTTTATTTTATAAAAGTTTTCCCCGGGCTTTCTTCTGTTTTTGTAGCTAACATGAAGCACATTGCACTAAGCTGCAAGAGAGCTTATAAAAGTTCATTTACTAAGCAGCCCTCTCCTCCTATTCCAATACATAAGCTGAAAATTAAAGTCCTACCATTGTTTTAAAAGCACAAAACTCTGAAGAGTGGTAAGACTGGCACTACAAAGATTAATTTCCATGACAAGAAGAGTTATCGTGTAGCCAAAGGCTTGCATTTTAAACAGATTGTTCTGGACTCTCAGGACAATCTGTCTTATACCTGTATCATCAAGCCATGTATCATAACAGAGCACATAAAGCCACAAAGTTCTCGTCTAGTTGTATGGAAGCAAAAATAGACATTGAGCTCTGCAAGTTTTCTAGGCATCCAAAACATCAGAAGTATTTTTGATTGGTGTGTAATCTACTTGACAAAATAAATGTATTCTGAATTTAAAATTGGGCTTTTTACATACAGATTCACGAGACTTTCAAAAAGGTAAGAAAAATGAGCTGGGCTAGTGGTGGAAAGGAAATGTCCATAGATGACGTGAGAACCTACATGCACTGTAGGAGTCATTTGGTTAGTCAGAAGTAATCTTCCTGTTAAAAGTGTCCCAGATCTCAGGTACAGCTAACAACTGCTACTTTGGAGCCTCACATATCCATGATATTCATAATTATTATAATAAAAGGATTGGTTACTCTTAATTTCTGATGAAATTCACTGGTATTTTACAAGCTACACTGAGTTTCCTTCAGTCCTGGGCTGCCGTGCCGTGTTTCCATGTGCTGTTTGGAGTCTAACACCTTCCATGCTAAAGAACAGGAACCAAAAGGATCTCCAAGTGAAGTAGTTTTGTATCTGTTTTGTAAGATGTGCTCTGTTATTATTACTTGTACACAAATGATTGCAATAACTAGGTTTTAAAAATCACCTCTACATACCCCAGCTCCCCCTCCAATAGACCCTTCTCTGTAGTCAGTTCCAAGTGCTCTCATGCCTCTAGCTGCCTCTCTTATCCCAAATGCCTTGGTAAAAGTGCTGGACAAGCTCCTTTCACATTGGTATAATTTTAACGAAAACTTCTAGTTTTCAACCAAGTGGCTGGTAACATATTTTGAATGTCAAAAAGGCAAACAGAAGTCACCCAGAGAACTAAGCTGTCCTTAAAAATATATTCTACCAGACTAGTTGTAGTTCCTAACAGCAAACAGAATTGCATTAGGAAGAAGTGAACTCCAGTCTACCCTCCTTTAAACTAAATCTATCCAAGCTTTCACTGGACTGATCAACAGTCAACTGGGACTAACCATAAGATCAATGTTTCGACCTTCTATTAATCCTGCTGTTGTCTTTTCTTGTGTACGCAAAGTTTTTAAGTTATGTGCAGTTTTTAAGGTCTTTCGAAGCACCTGGTAAATACTATCATATTTATTATTTTTCATTTTCTAACAGGGAAGAAGAAAAAAAGAGAAACCTCAGCACCACTTAAAAGTTACTTAGTTGAAGACAAGTTAAAACCAAAGGAAATAGCAAACATTTGTTTTTTTACAACACTTTATCTCTTCAACTTCTGGCTCATCCCAAGAATAAGTGAATATATTTTTAAATGTGCTATATATTACAGAACGCAAGTCATGAATAAACAAGTAGGGACATTTTCAGCATTCAGGATATCAAGAAAAGTTAGTTCCAGGCAGTCTACCTTGCCACAGCCAAAGAGATGAGGGAAGAAAAGCCACGCCGGCCCAAACCGAAGTGATGACACTGCAAGTGCAAACGAATTTCAGGGGAAAAGGAACTTAAAGCACCCATGTACTACGGGTCTTCTCCTTTCTCAGGAAAGGAAAGCCAAGGAATCTCTGTCCCCTTCAAGAAGTTTGCTGTGCCCAAACGGGGCAGCCTCGCTCCTGCAGCGCTGCGCACCGGGGGCACCCAGGATCACTTCTTTAACTGCAGGAGCCCGGCACGAGGGCGCTCCTGGGGACACCAGGGCCACCAAAGCCGGGCACGAGCGCCGGGACGGGCGGGAGAAGCAGCCCCGGCCGAGGCGGGAGGGGTTTTGCAGGGATCCTGCGGGACCCGACGGCGGAGCCCGCCGCGCCGCGGGGACCTGGCGCTGTCCCGCCGGCACCGCCGGCCCCCGGGCGGCCCCGGCAGCCGCCGCCGGCGGGGGCACCGCGGCCGCCTTCTGCAGCGCACAGCGGCACGTGCCGCGGGGGGACGCGGCGGCCCCTCACCTTGGAGCGCTCCTTCACGTAGTACTTGCCGAGCCGGCTGCCGCAGTACATGACGAGGCGGTCTATGAGCGTGAGCAAGAAGCTGATGGCCTCGCAGCCCTCCTCCGTGCCCCCGATCCACTTGATCTGGTCGCCGCGGAGGTGCCGCTTGGCGACGCCGCGGCTCGGGCCGGCCAGCTGCCCGTCGGCGAGCTCGCCGTCGCGGTGCATCTGCTGGACGCGCTCGAGCACGCGGTCGCCCAGCACCTCGCCGAGGAAGTTGTCCAGGTAGCAGAAGCCGATGTCGTGCAAGCAGGGCACCACGTACTCCAGCGCGATGCGCTCCAGGTCCAGCCGCATCATGTGCCCCAGGGGCATGGCGCCCCGGGACGGGGACGGCGCCCGCGGGGAGACTCCGCTCGGCTCGGCTCGGCTCGGCTCGGCGCTGCGCTCCGCGGGCGGCGGCGGGACAGGGGCGAGCGGAGCGCGGCAGATGGCCCCGCGCCGTTTAATACGCCGGCTACGTGCGCGATGTGTTCTCGCGCGCCGCGGCGGCGGCGGCGGCGCCACGTGGGTGGAGCCGCGCGCCCGCGCTCCCGCCCGGCACCGAGCGCCGCGGCGCGCCCGCGGGCAGGGCCCCGCCCCCGCCGCCGCCAACAGCCAATGGGCTGCGCGCGGGGCGGTGCCGCCCCGCCCTCCCCCCACGGGGCTTTCCGCACGTGCGCTCTAGGAGGCGTGGCCTCTCTCAGGCAGGCCCCGCCCCTTGCCCCGCCATTGAGGAATTCTGCGCCCGCATGTCGGCGTCCCCGAGAGACACGCCCCCTGGCACGCCCCCTCTGGTGGAGGCCCCGCCCCCTGCCGGGCAGGGGTCCCGGAGGTCCCGCTTWTCTCGCGGGGCTCCTCATGCTCCCGGGATCCGGCAGTGACGGCRCCAGGAGCACGGAGCTCGTAGGGGCTTCCCTGCTGCTCCGCGGGACCGGGAATACCCTGCCTCTTTTCTTTCTTTGCTCTTTTTTGTTTTCTTAGTAAAAATTGTTTTCTGCACCAAAATCGTTCTTCCCTCAGTTATTTGCCGCGGGCTGGGCGGCGGGAGCGCCTCCCGAGCAGCTGGSTCACGGCTCAGCCTGGGCGACTGCGACCAACTGCAGCGAACTTCATCCCTTGCTTTGGGGCGAAAACCCACGTTTGAGCAGGGAATCCCCGCACACACACACCCCGACATGTCCTGCGGGGACATTGGGCCATTGCCACATGCKGACACCCCTGGGGTGCAGAGTGCACCCATCTGAAAGCCCCTGGAGCCAAAATATGGTGAATGAACAAAAATAAGGTGAACGAACAGCTCCGCAGTTGGGGTTTGCCACGGCAATGGGTGGAAATCCCACAGAAATTCCAGAAAGGCCCCAGGGCAACTTCCTGGGCGGCTGGGCGGCTGCCAGCTCAGATGGGGCAGACATGTCACATCGCTCCACACCGCTTTGCACCGGGTTCCCCAKCGCTGCCCACCTTGCACTGCCCCTCGACATCCCTCACGAGCGCCAAGGACTGCGTTTGCATCAGATACATTCATAAGCAGGCAGCTCTAAATCATCAGAGGGCTTCATTTGATTTAGGTACACACTTTGCACTAAAGTGTGGTTATAATTAATAAGATACAGTTCTCAATCCTTTAATGCSTATCTGGAAAGTCAGTCAGGCATGGTAAGCTAAGAGCAGCTCTAACAAGCAGCTTGGGATGGGAGATTAATCCAGCTGCCAAGTGTCGATGTTAAAAAATTTGGCCACATTAGGAAATGTTACTGTGGTGGTGGTGTATTGCTAACACATTTTCCATGTAAACACCAACACGTGCTAAAATAGGACAGCAGCCCCTGCCCGTTGCTATCGTTTCCTGGTAATTTAAGCTTTCTGGTGGGAAGTGTGCGTGTTTTCTTGAAGCACGAGGATGTGTTTTTCACACCTAGCGTTTGCAACAGCACTCAAAATGCAACACAGGCTGAAGCATACGAAGATAAACCACCAGAAGTGAGCCCCAGGAGCGCTGCTCTATCTATTTATTTCTACAGGTGCTATTYGACTTCGTCTCTCTGCCCTGATTTCTGTGGGAAGCACAAGAATTGCAAAAGTGCATGACAGAGATTGCAATTGATTTGGYTGGCAACTCTTTGCACTACAGCAATAAGGAAGGAGCATTGCTGGGTCCAACGTGTAAGCACAGGGAAGTGCCAATTCGTGCCCAGCCCAGCGACCTCTTCCTCCTTTGGGATGAAAATCGTGCCTGGGTTGTTTGGGGAGATGACAGGTGGGGACTGCAGTAAYTGCCAAGCTAACGTGCCAGCTTCATGAGCCCTCTGGCAATGGGGGTGACCCCCCACCATGGGGTGGCCCTGGGTGTCCACCTGCAGAGCAAGGAGCACCCAGAGACCAGCAGAGCCACCAGTGTCTGCCACGCGTCCCCAGCTGCTGCAGCTCCCGCAGGATGCCCCGTGCCGGCGTCCCAGGGGTCACGAATCAAAGCGTGGGAGAGGTGTGAAATAAAGCAGGCCGCCGTGTCAGCTCCACCTTTGGACACGCACACGGAAGGTTTAGAGCGCTCTGTATCACCAACTTGAAAGGCACCACCACGTTTTAATTAGAAATAGCAGATCTTTCAATTACAGGTGAGCTATCCCTTTGCCTTGCAAAGTTCTGTTTATTCTTACACCGGAGAAACTTTCCTTTCTAAGAATCAGGTTTTTGTTTCTTTGTTTTGGTTTTTCAGTTTCCATTCGAGAAACTTGTTTGCAAAAGCTCTGGGTAACTGCATAGCTGCCRCCTGCTTCTGCGGGCAAGTTCAGGAGGCAGAGCACAGGGGCACCTTGTAGCATGGAGAGAATAATCTTGGTGTCTTTGCTTGAGAGGGCTGGCACACTTGCAGAGTGCACATGAAGCCCTCACACCTTGTTACACTCTTGTGCATTGTGTTGACAGCAGAGCTTACAGATAAACTACTTTACATTATCTTTACACATTTGAAGTATTGTCTTGGGATTCGTCCTCTTGGAAAGCCTTGGAAAGCCAGGCCAATGGCAAGAGCTGAACTGCAAAGTTCCCAGAGATGGAAATGACATCACTGAGAAATTGAAAAAAAAAATAGTATTTATTTTTAATATCTTACAATGTTGCTTGAGGAGCTGGTATGTCATGACCTAGTTGAACAATAATTAAAGCCCTTGAAGGAAGGGCTTTTTTGAAGGAAGTTTTCTTGGTTACATCATGTCCAGAAGCCTCCTTGCCGAGGGAGCTCTGCTTGCAGGGTAAGGTCTCACAGGTGCTAAGCAGATGCTGCCACAAATGTTTAAGACGTCRCTAACACCACCTTCCAAAAGAAGTCCAGACCCTTAAAACCACCTTGACTCGCGTTGCAGCTCAGCCACCAACTCCACAGGGAGGCAGCTCTGGCGTCACACCAGCTTCGGACAGGGGGCAAAGCCACAAGCAGGGTCCCTGTGACCACCACAGCGAGACCTGCCAGAGTGCWCTCCTTATCACCCTTAATATTATCTCATCCTGAAAGCAGGTGCAAGGGCAAAGGTACCTGCTACAGACAGCTCATCTAGCAACACGTGCAGCACCTTTCCCTCTCCCGGCTCCATGTACTTGCCTTGGCTCTCCTTGGACTCTTCCAGAGCCAGCCCTGTTTGCTGAGACAGCTGCAAAAACACTTTTTTAGGAATCTGACTGTACAGACAGCTGTATATGTCTTACCTTTTTGATTTGGARTCGTAAGAACTGCATCTAGGACAAGTACTTATATTAGAAAGGAGATAGATAGAAAAAATACCACAAATTACTTTTAGACTGCATTAGAACTGCTTTTCTGTTTATTTGTTTGTTTTGTATGTTTGTTTTCTATATGAATGTTCTTTTCCAGAAACTATACCCTTGATAGCAAAGGATATCTCAGTGGTTCTGGGATTAAACAGTAAATCCTGGCAACAGAGAAATAAGTCTGCCCAAAATGGTGCATTGTAATAAACCAGAGAATCTGCCTCAGATAARTAATCCGCCAACCACAAGAGTGAAGCCATAGATGATTTAGAGGTATTGCTAAAGATTTTAAGTCAGAGAGCCCTCAGAAATGTACAGCCCAAAAGGCAAAGGTCTCAACATTACTTCGAAGAAATTTCTGCTAAGAAATCTTTGAAATCCTTGCACTTCCTTTTCTTTCTCAAATAAATTAGCTGGTCTTTTAGCATCTACATGGTGAAGAATAAAATCAAAAATTAAGTGTTTAAGAAAAAGAAACCCTCCCTGTTCCTGCTACTTTGTAGGTGTTGGTATTTCACATTTCTCACACAGCTTCCAAGGAAAATAAAAAGTGAATGCATGACATAAAAGGAACCCTCTTTTCACAAAAAGAAGATCTTTGGGATTGATGCTAAGATGAAATAAATGCCTGAACTGAATGAGACCCTTCAGCAGGGCAGGGAACAGACTTCCACTTCTGCAGCTCTATTACCTGATGAATGATAATCTGAATCATCTGAATTAAAAATAAGTTAATCATCTGAATTTGATAATTAAAGCCTTCACTGTGGACTCTGGAAAATCTGGAAAATCTCAGTTTGGAAATGAAAATGTAGTTGTCTGTCAGCTGTCCCACTGAAAAACCTGTCAGATAACAGGGTTGCTGAGGGCACCCAAGCTGCTGAAACGGTGTCCTGCAAAAGCTTGTGGGAGAGGGGAGGAATCACACTTGGATCCTTTCTATATCCTTCTGATTCATATGGCTGCAAAACCACTATTCTATACAAGTGAGTAAGGATATTGTGTTATTTCCCCTGTTTGCTCTTCTATTTACAATGTTCCGACCTACTACAGGAAATTTTTGAGGGACTCGGTGAACGTGCATTTTCATTGTCATGCGTTAGCAAAAGAACTAGGGTGCTGTCTTTTGTTTTTGGAATGCTTTATTTATGATTCATTTAAATGAGTGAAAATGAGTGTGCAGGAAAAAAAAAAAAAGATTTTTATAAATTAACTGAATAAAAAGTCATCCTCTAGTTCATGTAAGTTTTGCCTGCACGCTAAGTTTGTACCACTTTAGCTATAATGGTATAACTAAGAAGTATATTTCTGCCTCTTCTACCCTAAAAGTAGAAATTGATTCATTTATGCACCTATAAAGTCACTTTGTATTAGTGTATAGATAGTTTTRCATAGGAAGGAGAATAAATTATAGCAATATAAGGCACATGTATATTGCTATAATTACATCCACACCAGTAGTGATGACAAAATAAGAAAAAACTAATCTATCAAATAGTGACTGCAAACATAGTACATAGCCAGACCATAAACAAYGTGATATTTTCACCAAAATTCTTGTCTGTATCATAAAGATTTTTTTCAGTT